ATCATATGTTATTTGTCAATACTGGTTACAACTAATTATATTAAAAAGAATTAAAATATAAAGACAGATAAGACAAACCAAATACCACAAATATATTTCTTCTTTATAAAATCTTTCTTCTATATCTACTACAATAATCACAAAAACCATAAATACAAGACAAAATATACGGTATGTATTATGTATAATCTTGGTTAAGTACAATCTTTTAGTCTAGTGTCAGCCACTGTACCCCACCTCAGGACTCTTGGTCAAGATGTTTCTGACAATAATGAACACAATCGTTCTCAAGTCTAACAGATTATATTACATGAAATGTATGCCTTGAAATGTGCCACTATTTGGCCAGGTGCAGTGGCACACAACTATAATACCAGCTACTCAGGAAGATGTTGAAGGAGGATTACAAGTTTAAGGCCCTATCTCAAAATAAAAATTTAAAAAGGGCTGAGCAGTAGCTCAATGGTAGAATACTTGCCTACCATGTGCAGGGCCCTGGGTTCAGTCTCCAGTACCATTCCTCAAAAAAGTATGATTACTTGGCAGAGATTAAAAGGTAAAATTCATTTTTAAAATTTTATTGGTGTCATTATAGTTATTCATGGAGTTTAATATACTTAATGTTTATATGACATATAAATATAGCTATATATTTATATATGCTAATATTTAAAATACTTAATGTATTTATATAATTTAATATATACATGGAGTTTAATTTACTTCATTTAATTCCCAGTGCCCACCTTTTCCCTTCCCTTAGTCCCCTTCCCCTTTTCTAATGGTCTTTCTTTTACTCTTTTCTTTCTTTTGGCAGGGGCAGGGGAGTACCGCGGACTGAACTCAGGGGCACTTGGCCACTGAGCCACATCCCCAGCTCTGTTTTTTATTTTATTTAGAGACAGGGTCTTATTGAGTTGCTTAATGCCTCACTTTTGTTGAGGCTGGCTTTGAACTCTGGATCCTCCTGTCTCAGCCTCCCGAGCGGCTGGTGTAACAGGTGTGTACCACTGTGCCCAGCTTCACTCATTTATTTTTTATTGGCACTTTACAGATATACATAAAAGTGGGATTCACTGTGGTACACCTATATGCGCATACCTAATCTAGTTAAATTCACTCTGTATTTCCTCCCCTTCCCAGTCTATTATAGTTTAGATGTGGTGTCCCCGGAAAGCTCACACGTGAGATAATGCAAGAAGGTGTGGAGGAGAAATGATCAGATCAGAGCCTTAATTTCATCAGTGAACTGATCCCTGGAGGCAGCTGGGACGTGGCTGGAGGAGTGGGGTATTGGTGGCGTGGCTGTGGGTATATATCTGGACCACAGAGTCTCTCTCTCTCTCTCTGCTTCCTGATCATCCTGTGAGCTGCTTCCCTCTGCTACACTCTCCCACCATGATGTTCTGCCTCACTTCAAGCCCCAAGGGATGGAGCCAGACTTCTATGGACTAAGACCTCTGAAACCATGACCTCTCAAACTTTTCCTCCTCTACGACTGTTCTGATGGGTCTTTTAGGCAAAGCGGGGAAAAGGTGACTAAAATACCTGTCCCTACTACTCCCTTCCTCTCATTCTCCTTCTGCTCCATTGGTCTTCCCTCTATCCTTATAATATTCCACTCCCCCTCTTTTTCCCCCTTACTTTGCTCTAGTTTCTGCATATGAAAAACTATTTGCCTTTGATTTTCAGAGTCTGGCTTATTTCACTTAGCATGATGTTCCTAAAATTTATTTTTAAAATAAGAGTAAAGAAGCCCACATTAATTGACTGTCAAAGGAAAAAAAATAACAGAACTTCTAAAAATTAAAGAGTTTATATATATGGCTTGCATAGTGTTTTTCCCATATAAAATATTTTCTGAATCCTCTCAACCACCCTGTGAGGTATTCACAGGGGTTGTTATGCACATTTTTCAGAACCCTGAGACCTAGAACCAGAAAGATAATGTCATTCACAAAGTTATGTAGTGAAAGAGAGCTGCCATGAGGAGTGGAGACCAGTGAGTGGACTTCAGAGTTGTAGCTCTCTCCCTGATACACTTGGTAAAACCTGTGAGGGGCCTATGCATGTATTCTCATTCTCTGTCCCCCCCGCCTCTCTCTCTCTCTCTCTCTCTCTCACACACACACACACACACACACACACACACACACACACCTCCCCTTATAGAAATTATGTTCCTGAAATGGAAAACAAAAACAAAATCTTACTTTCCCAGTGAGTTCATCATAACTTCATCCTTTGTTAGTTTGGATTAATCTCCAATATAGAAGAATTCCTACTTTAGCTGTTTCTCTTTCACTATGTGACACTTAACAATTTAAAACAACCAAGACTTCTATACTTCATTTTTTGAAAAGCAAACTATCTACAGGTAATTCTAGTAGAGAGCCTAACTCCCAACTTCATTAGCTTTGAATGTTCTCTTCTTCTCTACCTTGCTTTAAATTTCAGATGATCAAAGAACACAACTTTAATGGGGGTTCAAGCCACATTCCACTCAAGTTCACAAAAAATACCAGGCACTTCTCAGTGTTTTCTTGTTGTAACCCATGTGAAGGATGCACATGACTCCCTTTAGTGGCATTCCTTACGTCCACAAAGCCTGGAGGAGAGAGGAAGAGGACTGGGGAGACTGCAGAGCACTTCACAGAAAGCCAGCGTTGTGCCCACCCTGCCCTCCCCATAGGCACCACACCTTCTAGGAGAACCAATGAGTCAGAGACGAGTCGCACTGTCAGGGCTTCTTGGCTCATGTTACCCCAAAACTGTGCTTCTACAAATCAAACACCAACCTGGTCTTGCCCACATGGGTCTTGATGAAATTAAAACACCCCGCCAAAAATCTAGACCAAAGAAACCAATTCACCATTTGAAACATATGACAAACTCATATTTCCTAGCTACAGTTTTGCTATTGATTTTGAAACCAGCATTGTAATACAGTTGTAGTATAGTGATTCACAGAACACAAGGAAATAAAACTTATTTACTCTAATAAAAAGGTGTACTCAAAAAAAAATACTGACATTATTCACAAAGTTAAAATACTATTAAGAGTACTGATTCATCTTATAAAGATTTTGCTATATTTATGCAAATGCTTGACCCCCTCTCACCCCCCCTTATCCTAAAGGTTCATGATCTGGCCATCAGAATCAAAGAAAAGCGTGCAAATTCAGATTCTCTTATGTTTCCCATCTTAGAGAAATGCCTTCCGTTTTATCAGTTCTGACTCCAAAGCAAGTCAGATCACATAATAAACTCAATTAAAAAACAAGTATATACATATGTATGTATGTATGCAGGCATGTATGTATGTATGTATAGGGCTAATAAAATTTCAATCACAGACTAACAGGTACAAGTGATTTCACTTAATTTCAGTGCTTTTTATTTAAGCCAGATGAACATACATACTCAGAAAAAGAGGAAAAAATTGCTTGAACTATTTTTGGACTCTTAAGAACAATATCCCATGCCCTTCAATAGATGAATGGATTTTAAAAATGTGGCACATATACACAATGGAATATTACTCAGCAATAAAAGATAATAAAATCATGGCATTTGCAGGTAAATGGATGGAGTTAGAGAAGTTAGCCAATCCCCCAAAACCAAATGCCAAATGTTTTCTCTGACACAAGGAGGCTGATTTACAGTGGGGTAGGGAGGGGGAGCATGGGAGGAATACATAAGCTCTAGATAGGATAGAGGAGTGGGACGGGAAGGGAGGGGACATGGGATTAGAAATGATGGTGGAATGTGATGGACATTATTATCCAAAGTACATGTACGAAGACATGAATTGGTGTGAATATACTTTGTATTGGTGTGAAAAATTGTGCTCTATATGTGTAGTAAGAATTGAAATCCATTCTGCTGTCATATATAAATTTTAAAAAATTAATTTAAAAATGTACTCTTAAAAAAACAAAAATAAATATGTTTTTAATTCAGGAAAGGAAAAAAAAAAAAAAGAAGAACAAGGGCCATGACATGGCCCTTTCTAGTTTTGCCACACTTAACAGTAAGGAATTCCTAAGGTGCTATGAAAACTTATATCTATACTGTTTTTAAGCCACTTCCTCTAATAATACACTGATTTCTCAAAAATAGACACATACTAAAACAAATATTTAATAATAATCAAGACTTCCCTTAAATTTCTATCCTCTATAGTGAACACTATAACTTTACCAAATAGTATACACTTTTTCCTCTGGTCATTTTTACATTTCTCTACAATTCACATCTCTTTAAAATATAGTAACCAAAACTGGAAATGCTACTCAAAAGGGAGTAATCTATGTCAAAGGGTAAAAGGAAAAAGTTGTATCTGTGAATACCACATCCACTTAAAAATACCTGAGTATGACTTTAACTTTTTCTGTAACTACCTGCAAGTCACCGAGGACTGTGACTTTCCTCCCTCCTTATTTACACTAGCCTATCCTTCCCCATCCTACATTTATATGGTTGGGCTTTTCCCCTTTGCATATCACCTTGACCTTAATTCATTAAATTTCTTATGGTATTCATAGATCCATTTATCATGGTACTTTATAGAAATAATTAAATGTGTGATTTATAGTAATTCCTATTATGCCTTGAAATATCAGCATTATGGAAGTACATAATAACCAACACAACATACATGTAGTTTATATGTCATTCACAAAGTTATGTAGTGAAAGAGAGCTGCCACGAGGAGTGGAGACCAGCCCACAGACTCCTCCTCAGATTCCAGCAAATCACTTAGATCTTCTGCATCATTAATCTCACGGTAGTAAACTAATGTAAGAATTCTTTCTTTTTTTAATTTTAGTTGTAGGTGGACACAATACCTTTATTTCACTTATTTATCTTTATGTGGTGCTAATAATGCTTGAAATATCAGCATTATGGAAGTACATAATAACCGACAACTTACACTGTAGTTTATAATAAATGACAGAACTAAGGACACTACGGTACTGATGCCTACTGACACCTACCTCCACTGGACGATCATTCTTTACCAGCGCTAGGCGTGCCCTTTGCAAGGAGCCATCCATCAGCTTGTGAAGTCTTAAGATTAACTTTCTTAACCCCATCTGCTTCAGGGCTTTGTCTACAAAAGGCCTATAAATAGAAGTCAGACAATGTCTACTGAAGCCCGCTTCGGTGCTGTAGTCTGCCGCTCCCCAGCCCACAGACTCCTCCTCAGATTCCAGTCTCTCAAGCTTCTTGGACACACAGTCTCGTGACTGGACATGGAAACCGCTGTCTACAGACGGCCTGACTTCTGGTACCTTCGGGTGGGAGATTCGCTCTTCTTCACTTTCATCTGCACTACTTTCCAATTCCTTCAATTCTCCCTCTGTGTCCTCGCCCTCATCTTCTGGCTCATTACCTTTGGATGGTCGAGGGGAAGGGATTTCAAACACTGGCCAGCCAATGTCGGATAAATTCTTGATACCTAAAACAGTGCCCATAATCCTCAGTTTCTGGTTTAAGTCTTTTGTGATGTTTAACCACAAACAGAGTGCCTGCACCCTGTCCTGGAAGTCTTTCGCAGCATATTTTTCATAGTCCTTTTGGAGAGCCTGCAGCGATGGATAAAGTGCTTCTATATATTCCAACAGCTCCATTATCCGTTTTACCTGCTCAAATGAGACCCTCTGGCGCTGGAGGTGCTCATGGTATGTTGAGTAACCCATACTCTTTGTTCCGTGAGGAGCTTTGCACTGCCCTTCTATTGAAGTACCATTGAAACTAGCCCCATTTCTAACAAAGGCAAAGCTTCCATAATTAACCTTGAAAGTAAGGATTTCATTGATAATATCTGGGATGGCTTGACGGGCTGTATATAAAAAGAGGTCCTGGTCATTAATGGTCCGTCCTGCATGCCAGGCTTGTAGCTCTAACCAAATCAGTTCATTTGATCGGTTAAACCAAAAAGCAGAAGTATTTTCTTGTCCTCTTTGCTCCCTATCCTTCTTCTTTGAGACTGAGGTAAGCTTTAGCAGAAGTCGTAGGGTTTCAAAAAACTTTAAACGATCTGCAGGGCAGTCAGTCCTGGAAGTCTGGCGTGCGGTCCTGGCTATAGGCATGGGCACAGAAACCGGGAGCTTGGCGTTGCTACAGCCAAGGCTGAGGTAAGGCTTGTTGAGATCCACGTCTGGAATTGATTTTTTTGGCAAAGACCCACTCACTGAGTCTAACATGAATGAGCACTGTACATTTTTCTTATGATCACGCTCTGTTGTTCTAAGAGTTGCTCGGATCTTTTTATCTTGCTTATAGCTATATTCTTCCACATTCTCCACTGTTTTCCCAGTGTCTTTATGTGGAGGCTGATTTGATGCATTCATTTTTTCTATTAAAAAAAAACCAGAATATTATGTAACTCTAAAATATGAAGCTGCTCAATATTTTCAAAAATTGATATTCACATGTATTTAATGAGACCATTATTGTGGGGTGGGAAATACCAAAGGCTAAACATTTAAAGAATCAAAATATAGTTCTCTTTAAAATTCTAAAAAAAATTATATTCATTTTCCTTGATACATCATATGTGCTGTATTCTTTTAAATTCACACCTACTAACTAAAACTACTTGTTTACCTCTGCACTACAAAATGCAGTTATCAAAGCATTTCATCAAATTTCTTTAAGCTATCACCTTCAATGTAAGTAAAAACAAATGCCATGGGAGAGCTGACAGAACCTGAATTCAAAAACATTCAATTCCTGCCTTTGTCATGAGCAAATCACTTAGATCTTCTGCATCATTAATCTCACTGTAGTAAACTAATGTAAGAATTCTTTCTTTTTTTAATTTTAGTTGTAGGTGGACACAATACCTTTATTTCACTTATTTATCTTTATGTGGTGCTAAGAATCAAACCCAGTGCCTCACATATGCTAGGCAAGTGCTCAACAACTGAGCAACAAACCTAGCCCCTGACAAAAGATAAGCAAAAATATTAACTTTAGTTTATTTAATTCCTTATTTCTTCTTTGCCACTAACAAATAAGTGATAACATGTTAAGACTCATAAATTAATTCAATATAATCTGTCCAGTCTTTAGTACTGGCATACAATCATTCAAAATTAATGCAAACAAAGTAACTCACATATTTCCTTCAGATAACTGTAAAAGTTTTAATAATTCCAAGTTTTGGAATTCACTGTATATTCTTCCTACAAAGAAACAGAATGATATACACAGTGTTGTGCTATGAGGATTGGAAGTGGAGATTAATGAGCTTAGTTTCTAACATACTAAAACTGAGGGCACTGTGAGACAGTCAGGTACAGATGTCTCTAGGTAACTAAAATACAGGTGTTAGGCTCAGGGAAGAAATCCAAAGATATGAATCTATAGAATACAGAGATATACTTTAACAGCAGGATATTATGAAAGAACAATCAGGAAAAGTATGACGAAGAGAGGTAATGAGGACATAGAACAAAAGGTTGTATTAACTAGTATGTGCATCCCAAGAAAACAGCTTTGGGTTAAAGAAAATAAAATCATATATAACAAAAAACAATTTTATTAGAGTTTAGGATTAAAAAAACTTAGAAAATTAATGTGGTATAAAGCATTACTGATAATAGCCACAAAATGTTTGTATAAAGTTTATAATTTGAAAGTAATAGAGAAGAGTGAAAAAGAATTATTTTCCTTATATAATTGTGCTTGCTCTTCCATGATTTAAAGGTCCTAAGTGAAACAGAATTAATCAAAAATTTCTGGAATGACATTAATAATTCCAGAAGACTAGCCAAATCTATGCTATATTTATAAAGTTGCAGACCATGAAAATACTTAGTCTAAATCTTTATGGCAACAATCAAAAGGACCAAAGCAAGGTCATAATTTAACTTTTTGGCACTGATATAATCTCATTTTAGCAGGTCTAAAAAACTAATTTTGTAGGTCATACGTATATACACAAGTCTTGTTAAGTTTACCATACAAGATTATAGAATTTTTAAAAATCTATATTTACATAAAGTAGTAATTAAATATTAGGATATACAATCCATTGTGTATAAGGAAAAGCAAACTGGGAAAGAAGGCAAAGGGAGACAGAAACACTTATTTTTTTCCCCAAAACACAAAACACATTTGCTTTGAAGAGTATATACAAAATAGAAATTCATAATCTAAGTTTAAATAATAATGCAATTTAAACTTAGTATAAACTACAGTACAAATAAATGTGCCAGTATGTATCCATCAGTCTACCTCAGCAGTAGCTACATTTTGCAAATATATTTATGATGGTACAAGTAAACAGAAGAGTACTTTCTAGCGTTTAATGACCAAACAGACCTTTACAAAATCATAAAGGACTTATCAATTTAAAGGAGATTTGAGAAAAACACTAGAGTGTTACAAAAACATCTATAGGTTTAGACTCAAATTTCCCTAAACACTGTACATTTTGTGTTAAACCATTAACATCACTGATGAACTTTTAGTATACCTCAAAGCCCGTTATGATGGACAGGTTAATTTTTTTCAGTGTTCTACTAATACTAAATCCCCCTGTAATTAACAAAAAGTCAATGCAAACAGAGCTTCTGCAAAGGAAAATGGGTCACAAGTACAGAAGTCAGAGACACAGAATGTTCTATGTTGCAAGTTTTAGTTACAGGACTACAAAACTAGTTCCCAACAGCTTAAGGCAAGTAAAACACCTATCTCCCAAGTGGCTTTAAAATACAATTTCTGTAGTATAACAAAAGCAAACTCTGAATACTTTTTGCATTTGGAAAATCACCAATAGTTCCTGACAAATCAGAAGAATATGAAAAACTTATAAAAAGAACTTTATAGTTAAAATGAAAGCAGCCAATGACAAGCAGTATGGTTCATATGTTTAAAGACATTAGACAACTGAATTTCCACCATTCATGCACACCTAGAAATGGCTCTGCAGAATATGTGTAAACCATTAACATCACTGATGAACTTTTATTATACCCCAAAGCCCATTACTGATGGACCATATATGTGTTGTCTAAAATTTAAAACACTGGCCTTATCTCCTCTCAAGTGAGAAAGCATAAACAGTTACACACGATGTTTCCCTGAAAATATGAAATGATCATTAGAGCAAGGATATCCTCAGATATCACACAAGTATTCCCTTCAATTAATAAGTTTATTGCTTCTGCCTGCACTAGAAGAAAGTCCACACTGTATCCCTTGAGAAGTAGTGGTAATAGCCCTTCCACTCCCTCAAGCCTTCCAGTTGTAAAGACATAGCTTTAAGCCCTGGCCCTCAGTTTCTCACTCTATAAAATAGGGGAACTGTGTCCTCAATTCCTTTTCTAAAATATCATGAACCAACAAGTAAAGAAAAAGAGGATATACTACCAGCATCTTTTCATCTTATCTATACAAATCAAATATTTATTTATTAACTAATATGGATTCCGTAGTGGCTACTTCACTGGTATCTATTTTAGATAAGAAAAGTGGGTAAATTTCTTTGAGAAAATGAACAAGGATTGATTTTCAGAATGACAAATTATAAATAGCAAGCTATTTGTTTCCAAAAGGGTAAGAATGACAAGTAGTTAACAACCTACTGCAAATAAAGTTTTTAAACAGTTTAAAAAATCACCTTCTATGGGAAAATCATCATCTGTGTGAAAGAAAAGACTCCTGGCTGTTTGGGAATTGCTCTCTGGATAAGAATGCACTCAAGTGGAAGTACAATGACCCACCACTCTTACCTCCCTTTCCTCTTGAAGAGCTCCAAGGGGTATGCAGAGGGAACAAGCCATGAGAGATCACATACTGAAGAAATCTGTATGGAAAGGAAACTGGCCAAAGAGAAAGAAAGAACCCACTAAGGAAAAGGAGAGACAAGGATGAGCTTGAGGTCAACAGGGAAAAGCTTCTCAGATGAGATAAGGAATAAAATTATGGTCTTGCACGGTAATAGGTGGATGAGTTTCACTTATTACCGTGGAATCTGTTTTAGGGCAAGTGGTTTTCTAAATTTAACAGAGAAACCAAAACCCTAAGTTTTCAGTGATATAAGGTTCCAGGCCATATGTGAGACACAAGGAGGCCCAGCTCTGCATGGTTCAATTCACCTACCTCCAAAAAGAGCAGCGGGGACCAGACAGGAGGAAGTGGAAACAAAAAACACTCTCAACTTCTAGGAATACTAACTGGATTTTGGATCCTACCAAACAGAAAAGTGGAAGACACTTAAGTGGCCTGAGCTCCCTTCCAGCTCTAAAATTTCTAAAAGTAGAAAACAGGTTCCATCCAAGGTTACAAGGTGCAGGATACCATATAGTGGCTCCATAGCAACAGAGAGAGCCCTACAGCACTATAGGTCACTGGTAGATGGCAGAGCTCTCAGGTGGTCTAAGGAATTCAGGGAAGGAAAGCCTGGCTATCTCTCCATGAATTCTTGATACACCATTTCTGGATGGACAGAATCTAAAAATTTCAACTTAAAGAGATTAAAAGAATAAGAAAGGGCCATCAATCTTATACTTGGTCATCTTGGGTTAGCACACGGGAAAACACTTGGCCTCTTTCACATCTTCAAATGCCTCACATCACTGACTTTAACCAATAACTCAGGACAAACCTTTCTACCTCTAGATAATTATTTGTCTCCTCTATTAACAATATTGCTAATGGTAACAATACAAAAATTAAGAAAATTTAAAAGCAGCATTAAATTCAAATTTAAAATAAAGGGAATTACTAATCTTATTTTGTTATTATTGTTGTTGTTGTTTTTAGCTATAGGTAGACACAATACCTTTATTTTATTTTTATGTGGTGCTGAGGATCAAACCTAGGTGAGCGCTCTTCCTCTGAGCCACAACCTCAGCCCCTAATCTTATTGTTGAAAGTATCAACCAACAGCTACATATCATATAAATAGTATATACTAATATATAATATACATATCTTAACAATATTAAATACCATTATATAAATATTATATGAGTGCCCTTTCATGTTTATCTTTTTAAGTACAAGACTCACCTTTCAAATAAGATCGACTAATTGGCCTCCCTACATTATTCCTCTGGTGTTTGGCTGACATTCGTTTCATCTGTCGAGGAGTGCTGGGAGGAGAGGTGCCATACGGATGTTCTGTGTTTGCTTCATCAGAAAAGTCCTCAGGATCAGATTCAGGACTCTTGCAAGCTGAATCTCCCAATGTGTACGCTTGCCTGTGAAAGACAGTAGGGAGAGAAAACACTGAGTAATATGTCAAGTGACCTCAAACTCAACTGATTTCAATCTTTAAAGAACCCCTTAAAATGCTATGTGTATGTCTCCTCAGCATTATAATCCTTCTCTATTTCCACCTGTGAAAACTCAGTGAGACCTTCTTTCACTCAAAGGGATCAATGACTGTGACTGCTGCTGCTCTGGTGTGAACAACAGAGAGCACAACATGGGACAACTGAGATGCTACCTCTGATATTTCCAGAGCTCTTTCTGACTTTAATGAAGTTTAAAACTAAAAACTTACAAATTAAGGGAAAAAACAGCAAAGGACTAGAAGATACAAATCAGAAAAAGAACTAAAAATGGACTTAAGAGCTAGCTACTGACAAGCTCAATTGATGAGTGGGCAAGTTCAGTCCTGCTCTCAACTCAGAACCTTGCTCCTCTCTCTGAAGGGCAAAGACAGAATAGGGAGCAATAAAGGAATACTTTATGGCCCATGCAGCAAAGAACAGAGCACAGACACAGTGTGACAGGTCCATTTTTCTAAGTTATCTGAAAGAACTACATCTATACAACATAATATAAGCCCTGACACCACGGAGCCCCTTAGAAATGGTTAAGATAGTTAATTTTACATTATATGTATTTTAACACAATAAAAAATGGGGGGGGGGAGACAGTGCAAAGCTGAGTTCAGGTGGGAATGTGGGGGAAAAAGGAATTCACTTCTCTTCACCTACAAAATGCAATCCCTTATTAACTTGTTCTCTGAAAATATTGCCTATCAATTCTTTACCCCAGCCAATTTCTCAAATGGTATGACTATTTTGATAACATTCTAGTTTTGCAAAACTAGCAAAGTAAAATTTAATCAAACGGCAAACACACTTCAAGACAGCAAACTGGAAGGAATTCATCACAAAATTCTTTCCAAGTGAGTATCATCATGGTTTACCTCATTATGAATATTCTTTATAAAATACAGTTCAACTATATTCAGTGTACAGTTTTCTTTCTGGCAACTTACGTCCTGATATAAAATCCAAGTTAATTCAAAATCATAAGGAAAAAGAAAAACCACTCTAAGGTCATCATCTTACCATAATAATAACAATACCATTACTAAACTAAACAAAAACTCAAAACATAGGTTACCTTTTGAAAAATAGAAATTCTGCAGAATTATACCAATTTACAGTATTAAATTATATTTTTAACAACCCTGAGCTGTCACACACTGATTTTTCAATGATGTACTTTTATCAGCCACTCTAGATACAGTGTGAGCACACCTGCCTGCTCCCAACTGTGCACACAGTAAGATATGCAAGTCAAACGGCCTGAAAGTCAACTAAAACAATGAGAAAATCTGTTTCTTTAGGCAAGCTATATTTACTATTTAAGTCTCATAAAGACATACAACAAATAGTACAACTTAGAGATTAACTTGGAATATTTTTATATACATTTCTTTTGTTTACTATAAAATAGTTGATTTAGATGATTAAAGAACATGGTTATAAATGTTAAGATCATTTCTTCTTCATTTGTTTTAGTGGTTAATTAAATGATAAACAGCATAGGCTTTGTGGACCTATGAATGGACTTAGATTCAAATACTGGCTCTGCTGCCAACTACCTATGTGGGCCTTGAACAAATTTAAAACCTCTTCCTTGCACATTTATGTCAGGAGCTGCCACACAAGAGCTGAACACCCCCTAGCTTTGAGTGATGGAAATGTGGAGACTGGCTTCCCTGCACACAGAAGCAGGTGGATACCATAGAGATGGAGAGCAGAGGAGCAAAGCTTTGGGAGTGGGCATTACCCAATGGAGTAGGTTTGCCTTCTTGTTCCTTGGTAATACTACCCCTTACCTTTTTTGGATGGCATTTTCCATGGAACCTCCCTTTCTGTGCCCCCTATATAAAAATAAAGAATTCAGTTGGCTCTCTCTCTCTTTCCAATGGACCCCTAAGATCATGGGAGCCGTCCCGGATTTTGAAAGTGCATGCATGCTTTCTTCACCATTTTCTCAGTTATTGATGTAGTCAGATTTTGTGAACCCAGCATAGGTCACCAGCCCAGTTAGATGGTGATACATTTACAAAATAAAAATAATAAATATTTAGACTCTATTTCTGTGCATTCACCTACTCCACACTGAGAAAGAAGTGCACAAAGAATATAGAACTGAAAACCATTTTAATGTCTTTTAAATTCTTTCAAACACAGCAATATAAGGATTTTGTTTTACTTAATTTCCCCAGTAATACATTTAAAATAAATATTATAGAAAATGATTTTGCATTTTATTATTTATGTGCCACCAATACTGTCCAGCGTAATGCTCACAGATTTCAATGCTTTTCTACAACAACATATTTCATATATTAAAATGGAAATCACTAGAAAACCATACCACAAACATTTGGTCAATTAAATTCATCAAAGCTAGGCAGCATGGAGTAGTGGGATAAATAGAAAAATGGAGTCAGCTATGAAATAGCAAACAAAAACTCATTCAGAACATGCCCTCTGCAGTCATGGGATGCCAAGTCCCAGCTCTCCTGCATGGATAAAGCACACACTTCTAAATTTTTCCAAGACCAGTAAGGAGACTAATTTAAAATGAGTCTACAATCTGAAAAGCTTTAGGAAATTTACTTATGAAGCATTTTTTGTTTTGTTTTGTTTAAGAATCAAACCAAATAATGGGAATAAAGGACTATGCAAAATATAAAATGGTCTCTTTTACCAGTGTCTAGCAGTTGTGTGTAGATGAATAAATTCAATTAGTGTAAAATAAAGCGAAACAGGGTCTTTTGAAGAGGGACTAACAATGTCAAACCTCAGTGATACAGATGGTAAGCCCCCTGACCTGAGGACAGTCATGACATAAAAGAAATATGTACCCTCATCTGATCTACATAAAATAGAATTGAATCCTGTGTTTTAAGCAGCTAAAGAGCCTAAGAAAGCAAATTTAATAAAAAGACAATTCTCATGAGATTTTAAATTAGGGAAACAGGAAGAGATTTGTGTTGAACTGTCTTCAACTGTGGACAAATTATTTCCCCACACATGAAAAAAATTCACTTGGCTGCACTCCCCAAATAAAAGTAGAAGAATAAATCCTTGTAATAGAATTCTACAGAATCTGACAATCTATTGTTTCCAAATCTGTCATCTATAACAAAACAAAAAGTCTTAGTCTTTATACCTTCACAAGGATACAATAAACAACTACTGACTTCAAAGTATTTCCAAATTACTTAACTATTCTAACAGCAGACATTAAAGAATCCCATTGAAATGAAGATGAATACTGTCATAAACAACATGAAATGTAACACACTTCATATTCCCTTTTTCATTATGCATCAGAAAAAATGAATTAGGAAAGATGTCATGTGGTGCTCCAAGGTACCACACTTAAAATTAACATGAATTTTATGGCAGGTATCACATGATGGTAAAGCTATGCATTTTGTACTTCCTTAGGATTTACTTAGCCAAAATGGTATTCACCCTGGTCAGAAATGTTACTGGTTTACAGTCCAACCAAGTAATTTAGTAACTCAATTACCTGTCAGAACAAAATTCAACGTTATTTAAAATAAATGTTTAAAAGTCAAACATCCAGTAAATAAATTCATGTCTGCTATCCTATCAAAAATCACTAAAGGAAGAGTCAATACTAGAAATGACTCAAATGGAACTTACTAGAGAGGAAAATATACCTGAATGAAAAACACTCTAGTCAGAATAACTGTAAATTAGACACAGCAGAAGAAAAGATCAGTACATGAAGACATGGTAACTGAAACTCTCCAAAATGAATCAGAGAGAAAAAGATTGGGGGAGGAGGGAGCAGAGTCTCAATATCCCACTGGACAATATTAAAACAATCTAACATTTCCATTACTAGAGTCCAAAATTAGAGAAGACACAGAAAAAATAATTAAAGAAATAAGGACTGAAAACTTCAAATATAAAGTTCACAGATCCAGCAAGCCCATGAACTCCAAGCAGGAGAACTATTAAACTACGAGTTTTTCATTACCCACATCATAAACAAATTGCTGAAAATCAGTGAAAAATCTTCAACGCAGCGAAGAAAGGCAACTTATGTTTGGTAGCCTTAGCTTAGAAGTAATATAGTATAGGGAAGATACCAAGCAATAGTTTGTAACTTTTTAAAAAAAAAAATTGTACACAAAATCTAGGAAAATAAATACAGGAGGTAAGTTCAAAAGAACTTGCATCATTTCAATTAACCATACACATCAGTGGTTAGCTGACTGGTTTGGAAGGTTCACGTGGATGCCAATTACTCTGGATGAGAAAAGTGGTACAAGGTCTACTTTTTGCCTTATTTGTGTTTAAAAACATTCAAATGTGAAATGTCTTTCTGGTACTAAACTTCTGACAGTCACAAAAAGAAATGGCTCACTCTTTCAACATATAACCCTGCTAAGTACTACCCACTTTACACCAGAATCTGGTCAAAGAAAAGTATGTCTTGAACTCAATCCAAGGAAGTCTGGATAGTTTTTAATGAAAAATGCATGGAAAGAAGATAAAAATTCAAGTAACTGGGGTTAAACAGTTCTACTCTAACATATTAGGTAAAGCACAATAAAGCCTGAAACAGCTCATTTGTAAAATGCAGTTAGGTTACACAAGTTCAAACACATATGTCATTCTGCAAAAGCCCATAAGTTTTTTTTTTTAACTTCATTAAGTTATTCAGTAATGACTTCAGAAATAAAAAAAGTATTTTATTCGTTTAAGAAGGGCAGTACTCATCTTTTTTTCACCTCCTCCTCACCACCAACTGTTCTTCAGCACATAGTAATTAAAGGGAAATTTCTGCCACTGGGAAACAGAGGAGAGGTCTGGGCAGAGTGGTTGACTTTAGGTTTCTTTTTTTTAAGAATCTGTAGAGTTTACTTGGCCTGCATCATAATTCAAAGGTATCTGAGTTTGAAAGT